GATCTACATGATCTAAATTTAATATATTTCCTACTAAACTAATTTGTTCAATTCCTTTATAAGGGATTCTATTTTTTCTTATTCCAAATGCTTCTTGTTGAAAAGCATTTCTACCGGTTTCTTCATTATTTTCTCTATATGGTTCATTAGTTTGCCTAAGATTTTGTTGATCTGTTCTACTTGCAAGGGTTACAGATGGTCCAGATGAACTATACTGATCTTCTACTAGCATGCATTCTACTTCAATTAACATATTTTGATATTCTTTTTCTCCTAAAATATGTTCTAATCCTATATTTAAAATTAAATCTTTTATTTCTTTATATGATAATCTATGTAATCCTAACTCATAAGTTTTATATTTTTCTATATATTCTTCTTCATCTAAATTATCTATGTCATCTATGAGTTTATCAACTATATTATCAAAATTATGCTCAATCATGTTTATTTCTAAGTTATCAAATGCCATATGTATTTCTTCATCTAATTCACTTTCTAAGTCTTCTATATCATTTATTTGTTTATAATTAGTAAATCTTACTACTGCTTCACCTATACGATTTTCAAAAATTTGTGCCTTATCAGGTTGTTTATTTTTTGCTACTTGTAAATTAGGTAAAATCCATTCTGTTCCTTCTAAAAAACTCTTATCTACTGGTTTTGCCTCTATCATATTAACATGTTTACTACCAAAAGTTTGTACTAAATTTTGGAATTCTACATTAAATTTGTAATTATAAGTATCTGAAATTTTTCCTACATACATAAGACTGATGCTTAAATTTTTGTACTCACCTTTCATATTATAATTTTTTGTTCTTATACTAATTTTAATGTGTTTACTAAATTCTCTAATATTCATGACATAATTAGGAATACATTCTATGACTGCTAAGTTTGTACTAAGATCTACTTCTGTTGTAGCTATAGCTGCTTGCTGATGGTTATCCCATCTGTCATCATATATGTATACTAGTGCTTTGGTTCCTACTTGTGCTCTAGTGAGTCCAGCTATTCCTATCATAATTGTTCCTATATGGATTTGTTGATAGTGTGATTTTTTAAGATGTTCTATTGCTGTGTTGCTAAGTAAATTAAGAGTTACTTCCTTATCTATACAACTAACTTCATGTTGACTAATACTACTTACAATACTATGTCTATTTTCAAATCTTCCTAATTGATATAAATTAGATTTATTTTTCTGAGATTTTTCAAAGCCTTTTCTAAAAAATTCTTGTGCTTCTTGTTCACTAGGGTATATATCTTATGTTCTAACTATTTCTTTTCCTTTTCTTCTAAAGAGTTCCATTTACTATTATCAAATGGATTTATTCTACTTTTTCTTCTATGAGGATTATTTCCTAAAATTAAATATTCTAATTTGTCAACTAAGTCTTTGGGTAGTGTAGAAGTGGTATTGTGTACTACTTGATTAATTTATGTTATTTGTTCTTCTAATTGATCTACTTTTTTGGCTAAATTCAAAATTAATTGGATAATTAAATTATTTTGTCTAATAGGGATATTACTACTTACTACAGATGTTGTAAGTTCTGTAAGACCTACTGGTTCCTTATCTAGTTTACCAACTTCTTCTAATGCTTTGATATATTTATTATTAATTTTAGAATACGTCATTTAACTAAAAGTCTATCCATTTTATTATGTAACTTTTCTACTTGTTCAGTTAATGTTTTTTGTACTAACTGTATTTTTTGCACTTCTAATTTTAACTGCTCAATGATTTCTAATGACTGGAGTTCTATTTGTTTTGGCTTACTATCTATAAGATCTATGAGGTCTTTGATTTCTTTCTTACTATGAAATCTTTGGATATTCCTATTATTATTTTCTAATTGGGATGTTATACAGTCTAAGTTTTGTCTAATTATTTTTAAGGAATTTTTCTGAAAATATTCTAGTAACTGTTGAATTATCCTATTATTTTTATTATGTTCAAATTTTACACTTTTTGCTTGACTAATTAAAAGGTCAATAATACTATTTTCTAAGGGACTATTATTATTGGTCTAAGGTTTGTTTTTTTTTTTTTTTTTTTTTTTTTCACTAATTTCTAAATTGAGTGTATTCTATCGTAAAATTTATCTAAAAGTCTACCCTTTTTCTTTTAAGATGCCTAAATGGTCTTGAAAAGCTTCTATGGATTCTTTACATACTTCTAAATGATACTGATTTCTTGCTATGCTATTCTGTGCTTCTAATTTTCTTATAGGATAATTACCTACTTCTGGTGATCTTATTAACCCTTCAAGATTCCTATTTTCTTTTTGGTATTCTACTTTCCGTTTCTTTAATTCATGCAACCTTTCTTTTATTCTAATAGGTGTCCACCAAGAGCCAAACACAAACAATTTACTGTTTTTAACTAGTGATTCTAGTAACAAAATTTTAACAGGTTATAAAGCATTGGTTTTTATTAGTTGTGTTGACTGACTTCTGTCCTCAAGGTACTTTACTAGTATAACTATATTGTTAAGGTGCTAAACTAAGGCTTTGATACCATTTTTGAACAAGGGGCTCGGTCAAGGTTTTCTAAAAGCCAAAATAACAACCAAATACCATGCCTAGAACATGGAACTGCAAAAACGCCAACTTAAAGGGTTATGAAGCAGAACTCAGAGGTTCTCTGAACTCAGAGGTTCCCTGACAGACATCCAATTATTATTATGGCAAATATCAAATATGACCAAGTGCTCAAACAAAGTATTGATCGTCAGTTTAGCAAGATAATAACATAATTATGAAAAGTGTTTTCCTGTTTAGGACAAGAAGTCTACTAAGAAAACCAAAAATAAAAGAGAAAAAGACTTACCTAATTGCTTATGTTGCTGGATTTACTGTTATCACTGGGTATAAACAGTGGTAAGAGATATTGATAGTGATAGACGGTATTAACAGTGGTCGGAGTATAAATGGAAAAGAGAAGATATATGTACAAAAGGAGTTTTATTAATTGAAGACTTGAAGGAGGAAGTACTGAGATTTTTTCTTCTCTGATGTTATGTACTTCTTTCTTCGGAGTTACAAACTATATACATAATTTATACTGACTTCTACCATGGCTAAGGATGAGAAGAAGAGTTCTTCTCTATCTGATACTCTCTATCTCTCTTACTCTCTGAAGTTTCATATGAACTTCACATGTACATGACTATTTCAGATTCATATGTACAAACAAACAAAAACTCTTAAAATTATGGTATGATATACTGTTGTTGTTGCTGCTGGCACTGTTACTGTGCTGTTGCTGACATTGTTACTGTTGCTGGAAAAAGGACAAGGTTTCACATGTTGCTTTGGTTTTGACGGAGGAGAGAAAGGCAAAGGATATGCATGTCTTTGGTGCTTAAGATAAGGGTTTTTCTGCTATTTTGGAAATATTTTGGGTGTTTTTGAGAGGAGCTTGTTTCTTTTGGGTTTGTTTCTAATTTTCGCTTCATGGAAGTCACAGTTTTGGTTTTGTATTTTTTGGATTGGGGTTCGACGTGAGCTGTAACACCCCGACTCCAAATTTATCCCCTATTTTAATTAATTTGAGTGAAATTAAGAATTTACCCGTGGGATAGGGGTATTTTAGTCAATTTCTTACTCGGAAGGAATTTGGAAATTCCGGATGTACCGTTGTGTAGAGCACGGCGAGATGAGTTCATAGACACGTAGTGGGCTCGAATCGGAGTTGTAACGAGAGAGATATGATCAAATGAAGCTCAGTGGCATAATTGTAAATATTTGGAAAATGGATTTTTGGTTAAAAGACGAAATTGCCCCCGTCTCTCTCACTCTCTCTCTCTCTCTCTCTCTCCCGCGCGCGTCTCTCCCTCTCTCTGGTTTTCGCGACGGCTGGAACAGCCGGCCACGTTTTGGCCGGCCGTGCTCTCGTCCGGCCACCAAAGTGGACGGGGCCGGTACCAAAATGATCTGGCCGCCGTCCTCTTCCTACCCCAGCCGCCGGGATTTCGCCGGAAAATCGAAGAAAACAGCCCGGTTTCGCCTGAAACTTCGCCGGCTTCGTTCTCCGTCGTCTGGCCACCGATTCCGGCAAGTGAGGTATGGTTTCTCACCTATTTTCCGAGCTCTAGCTGATGGTTGGGTAGGATTTCATAAATTTTGAGGCTAAGTAGCTCGATCTACGGATTGAAATTCGACCGGTTTTGCGATCGCGATTCCGGCCACTCCCGGTCAGTTTTTGGGGTAAGCCCAAGAACAAAAGTGACTCCAAATTAGGTGTATTACCTAGGGTAGGAGTCTGGGCTCACGATTTGGAAGTTTTCCGGCGATGGGTATCGCTTTGGACACCCACGCGCTGCCGGTGTGTGGGCACTGTAGCTGAGGGGCATTTTTGTTCCAATGTGATCCTCTCGATGTCACGAGCGCGTAGGTGTGCTCGGATCTCATTTGGATACCGTTAGAGTCCCGAACGGATATCGCATATCGCGTATTTTCCGGGTTCGCTAGGTTTGGACCGTTGGATGGTCCTGAAGTTATTATAGGTTGATCTAGGTATTACCAGGATCATATAGGATTCAACGGATCGTAAAACGGAGTCCCGGATACTCCGGAAATGCCAACCCTGGGGTTAGGGTTTAAGTAACCGTCCGATTGTGCGATCGTGAGCAATCCGACCGTCCGATCTGGACCAAACTTGCAGGACATGTGTCCTAGACCTTGTAGAACCTCTAGGAACTATCGGATCGGAATTTGGAGGTTGTGGGCCCCGCAGGCTCGTTTGACCCTAGGTTGACCGTGAGACTTCCGAGATAGTCTTACCTTTATTTGAGGGTTAGAATGACCTTAGTGACAGGTCTTGAGTGTTGTTGAGTAAAATGGATATTGTGGGTTTAGGATATAAATTGGTGAATTTAAATGGGGGAGTTTATGGAATGTTTTATTGATTGATGTTATTGTAGGATTAAAAATTATATAGTATATATTTAATTGTGTGGATGTATAATGATATATAAGGAGATTGAATATTAGTTTACAGTGCTATACGCACTACCCCACGTACCCCTCATATTGTGATTATGCTCAGGCCCAAGTGACAGTAAGATGGCTGGTGAGAATGTAGCCAGGCCCAAGTGACAGTAAGATGGCTGGTGAGAATGTAGCCAGGCCCAGTGTGAGGTCGCACGCGTCTTTGGATTAGCCGGCGTGTTGACAGACCCCATACGTGGCCGGGTGCGTCCCGACGTATGAGGGGAGATATGATTGTGTGAGGGCTGGTGAGAATGTAGCCAGGCCCAGTGTGAGGTCGCACGCGTCTTTGGATTAGCCGGCGTGTTGACAGACCCCATACGTGGCCGGGTGCGTCCCGACGTATGATGGGAGATATGATTGTGTGAGGGCTGGTGAGAATGTAGCCAGGCCCAGTGTGAGGTCGCACACGTCTTTGGATTAGCCGGCGTGTTGACAGACCCCATACGTGGCCGGGTGCGTCCCGATGTATGAGGGGAGATATGATTGTGTGATGGCTGGTGAGAATGTAGCCAGGCCCAGTGTGAGGTCGCACGCGTCTTTGGATTAGCCGGTGTGTTGACAGACCCCATACGTGGCCGGGTGCGTCCCGACGTATGAGGGGAGATATGATTGTGTGATGGCTGGTGAGAATGTAGCCAGGCCCAAGTGATAGTATGATGGCTGGTGAGAATGTAGCCAGGCCCAGCACGCGTCTTTGGATTAGCCGGCGTGTAGACAGACCCCATACGAGGCCGGGTGCGTCCCGTCGTATGAGGGGAGCTATGTGATTGTGTTTGGTGTGTTAAGATGGATGAAATCCTAGAATGTATGAATTTATATGGATGGAATGGTTTATTTGATATTAGGAGCCAGGATTGATAGGAAAGAGCTACGTGTGGCTTGATCCCTTAGTAGGGTACGTAGGCAGCCTGGGATAGCGCCTAGGTGCAGCCACGACTTAGACACCACTTAGGTGGTTTTATCGAGTATGATGCGGACTTCGTGGTTGGTCCCGAAACTTGGTTGAATTGAGGCTTGTCCGATGGACTGAGTGAGTGAAGGTGTGTATGGATGGATTTTGAATTGGTTATGTGCATGTTTGATGCATTAAGTTATTTTGAAAACAGTGTTGGCAGTTCTGCTAGAATCATTTGAAGGTCGGAGGCCATTTATGTAAATTGCATGAGATTATATTGTGCGTGCTGCTGGTTGGGTTATAAAATGTGTTTTATGCAAGTGGAAATTTTGGGGAATGTTCAATTTACAGGGGAGACTCTGCCGAAATTTTGGCAGAAAGTCTCATACCCTAAATCCTCTCTGGTAAAGGAGGACATAGTTTTAAGGAGTGAACCCGGCGTGGGTGTGATGCCGGGGTCTCCGCAGGGTTCGTCTCGGGTTCTGGGAAATTCGGGGCGGGTCCTGTCATGAGCTATTTAAACTTATCAAGTAAGTAAAAGAACACTCTATTTTATTAACTGAAAAAAGTGATATTTAAACTTGCAATCGCTTCCAATGTTGAAAAGAGAAATATCACTAAAAATAATATTTTTCGGTTACAAGTACTAGAATATTATATTATCATATTTACGGTAAGAATTCGAAGTTCAGAAGAATAGAATGTTAAATAAAACAGTATGTATTGTATTCCTCAAATATTATTTTCCCTCCTCACAATGCTATGTTTTGTATATGAATTCAAAAGGGCAGAAGAGTTAATCAATGAACAAAATAGAACAAGTCATCCTAGTAGCCAAAAAAAAGAACAAGTCATCCTCAGTTATGCTGTTGAATCCATTTTGGTCACTCTCTCCATCAGATTACTCATTATAATGGAAAATGCATCCTGAAACTTCTCAAGCTTGGCAGTTGAATCTCCATATACCAAACCAGGTAGCAATTCATACACAATATACCTCCTCATATCATCCCTCTCCTTCTTAGAAATCTTCATCAGCATTTCCACCACATTCACCTTCACTTGCCTCACCTCTTCTTGGTCTACAAACACAGAATATTTTTCATGATCCTCTGGTAGATGCCATGGATACTGGTAGTAAGCTGTAAACGGATCGAATAGCACAGGTATGCAACCTGAAATTAGAGAATCAAATAGGGATTTTCTAGTTGGGCTGTCCCCTGGAGGCTGCAAGCAGAATTCAGACTCCATGAAAAGCTCGATGACTGACTCTGGCTGGTCACATCCACCTGAACTACAATCAAGAAAGTGGCATTGGTTTCCATTGTGTGCTGATGAATTGCATTGTTTGATCAATATGGACCTTATGCTCTCAGCTGCACCAGGCCTTGCTGCCCCAGCAAAGCTCACTAACCTTTTTCGATATGAACTGATGATCTTCCATTGCCATGCCATGATATCATCATCTGAGTGTGGATGGAAGTATGTTGGATGTGGAATGCCAATGTCATTTGGCTGCCATGGTTGCCTCTCAATCAAAAGCTTTATTGGGTTTTCCATTTGGTCAATCTCCAACAGTCTAGTTCCCCATGAACCGTCCTTTCTCCTAAAATCCCATGAAACCTTCCCCAACACTATTACATGATCTTTACCTGAATTCTTAGCCCATGGTTTTTGTTTCTCAAGCCAAGTTATGAGCTCCAAACTCAAAGCATCTTTCACATCATTGGAAACATTCTTAAAATGCCATCTTAGAATATCCAAGCCACCATAAAATGGGACATAAAACAGTTTGGCTTCATTCTCATTGTAAATCCTGCAAGGATGCTTCAAAACCCTTTGATGGAATATTGGCTCCAATGAATACTGATGTGTCTGGTACCAACCATTTCCAAGCTTAGGAATTGGTTCTCCCAAGGCCTCATTTTTGAAGTACTTGCAGAAGTCCATCCATGGAACCATGTCTCTGCATTGACCTACCAAATCCTTATTAAACTTTGATGGCAGATCATACACATATACACCCCTCCCTTCACACCCTGCTTGCTTATTTTCCGATATCCATGATCTGTGCAGTCGTAGCTGTTCTTCGACTTCCTTCTTTGCATTTGCAATATCCTCTTCTCTGTCTTTGTTCTCTCCATTCCTCATAAGTACTGGATCAGCCTCATCATGGACAACTTCAACAGTCTCTTTCATCACCATTTCACCATTGACTGTGGATTCAGGACTAATGGAACCATTGTCTTGGTACAAAGTAGGTGATAGCGAAAGAGGGAGGTTCGAACGCTGGTTTGGAGTTTGCAGGTAATTGAAGCTATTATTGATTATAGGAATAGGGATTTCAAAATTGGGTTGGGTTTTACCAGCGGATAGGCAGTAATGATCGTTGAGCTTTCGCGACGACACACAAATGTGAACAATGTTGCCGGAGATAATGGTGGTGGAGGAAGACCAGAGGTAGATAAGAAAGAGAAAGAGAAAAGCAGCAGGGATTCGATAGAGAAACTTGAACAGAACAATGACACAGTTGCAGACTTCTTTTGGGGCTGGTTTTTTGGTGAGTTTGGATTTTCTTTTGGACATGGAAATACTGGCCATTGTGGGAAAAGTGCTTGCTGTTTGTGCAGTGGTCTGCCTCTGATTTTAAGTTCAAGCAAGGGGAAGGTTTCATCATGTCCTAATTTGAACATGGAAGCACGTATGACAAAGGAAGCATCTGATTCGGGTGCACGTTTGAAGATGATTCTATACCTTAATACTATTAATATTCTTAGGCTGTGTTTCAACCATATTATATGATTTGATCATTCTATAATGGTGGTTGACATGCGCATTGAGTCTCCTCCACAAGACAAATAAAAAAAATAAAAAAATAGACCAATCATAACTTAAACCAATGATGCTTTGCATTTGACTTGTTTTCCTGATATATATTTGATGTTTTGTATTTGACTTTTTATTAAAAACAAAAATTAAGCTTTGCATTTGACTTGTAAATTGCAATAGTTGCACGAAATGTTTATGCCATGACTATGATATATCTAGTCGAACAACATGGAAAAAGTAAATTAAAAAAAAAAACCGTGTTGAGGAAGAAGATTCGATTTAGAATTTGATCGTGTGAAGCAATTCTAGTTTTACTTGCATAATAAAAGAAAAATAAAAGAAAATGCAAGAATTTTCTTTAACAGTTTATATTACTTAAGCAGGACTGAAAAGGCCAGACACAACTTGACTTATTCATGTTCACACATATCTCACTAGTGGCCCTAGACAGGAAGCAAGGAACAGCAAGCAGAACAGCAACAATGTCAACAAAGATCAAGTTCTTGGTTCGGCACTTCTTAAAGTCAGTAAATAATGATCCCAGCAGCAAGAAACATTGAGCCTTAAGTTACAACATACTGTCGGTTCTAGAAGGCAGCCTGCGGAAGAAGTTGATGGGTGCGGATGGTAGTCTATGGCGAAATCTTGGATGCCTCATCATAAAGAAGCCTACCAATGCTGCCACTACCTGGAATGGTGTCACATACATCACCAAGGCAGCTATGAGGCAGAATGTCACGAAAAGGGCTGAAGCACGAGGATCACGCCAGCTCAATAGTGCCTGAAACCGCTCCCCTTGGGTAGCTATATCACCAACTACAGTCTGAATTCTACCAGCTACGCTCCTTAGGCGATCATACCTCATTCTCACCAGCTCTGGATTCCTGCTTGTTGGAAATGTGTCAAATTCCTCATCAAGCTCATCAGGGTGCACTAGCTCGGCTTGTGAGATCTTTGTGTTCATGTGAGGAGGATATCTAGGCCTGTAGCGGAAGTTCCATATCCCTATCAGAAACATGTAAAGAAAAGCTGTGGGCAGAATTAGTTCTGGGAAGCAAACAAGCATAAGGAAGAGAACATGGACAAGCACTGTGGTTATAGGATTCTTCCACATGCATATATCAGTAAACCATTTTCCAACAGCAAATACTCCCGAGAAAACTGTCATAAGCCTGAAGAAATTTGCTTTGCTCCGTCTCATGCTCCAAAGATGCGAGTCCACGTCAGACATGTATTCCACCACTTCCTTCCTGAGTGGCGGCTCAGCTCGGCCTAACCTTGCTGCAACTATGTTCACAGCCTGGTGACGTAATATGTCAAGCTGGATAACATTGAAGGGCCTTACATAGTGCATCTTTGGCAGTAGTGGCTTTGAGTATATGTAAAGCATGTTCACAGAAGACGTGCATGAAAATCGAATTGCCAAATGCAACTCCCCCATCTTCTTAACACCAGTAGGGTGAAGAACCAACAAGGGATATGAGTGAGTATATATACGGCCTGTTTCAAGTGTTGAGATACGAATTCGAACCTTCCCAATCTTCAGGTCTTTACCATGAGAATCCTTGTCCCCAAGCTGGCTGTTGTCAAATACTCCTACAGTAAGAACTGTAGCAGGATCAAAGACTTCCCAAGTGTACTGTTCATTGTATTTTGGACTCAGATTGTCAACAAGGGTCCTTGTCCTGACCCATTTATGACCATACTTTGCCACACAATATGTATCTGACGTGCCCCTTCCATCACGTGTTTTCATGGGGTGAAGCCCCACCGCATTCAAGATTCCAAGTTCTAAAACCCCAATAGATGGCCTCCACAGCTGCTTTGCTGTGGGGCGTAAATCACTACTATAATGAGTAGACTCATCAAGAACATGATATCCACCATCAAGACAAACTCGAAGATGAAGGCGGCTTGAGAACTTTTCCTTTTTCAACTGATCTATATCCACAACAACTGGCTTTTCTAGATTAAACCATCGGGAATGGATCATACGGTCATCAGCACGCCTGTCTACAGAGTTAAGAGGTAAGATGACCCTCCCAATGATTTCATCTTTTCCAGGGCCAACACGATCCTCAACTGAAATGACAAGATGATCTTCAAAGGGTTCTGAAGCAACAAACAAAAGGTCTTCATTCCAAAGGGGGTTTAGATTCCGGGCCTGGAGTGTCTTTGTTTTCAAAACCTGGTTTCCAAGCTGTACCTTGACATATGCATCTGGGAAACGATTCTTCTCTGCTGCAAAAAGGTCTTGTGCCTCAATAACATTGACACGCACATACCACAACCTTGGTGCATGGTAGACCTTTGAACGTATCGCTGTGGAGGCAGCTGGTGTGCTATCAGCAGGAGTAGCTGCATCAGAATGCCAGGCATCAGAAAAGGCTTCGTCTGCTTGGGTGCCAATCCAGACTGCCAGCATAAGTTCACTCTTAATCTTCTCTCCTTTCTTGTCCTCAAGCCGGTACCACTCTGGAGCCAGAGGACTATCTGGTGGAACTCTAAGTGGCACCTCATTGATGTCAAATCTTACCAGCCCAACAAAGTCATCTTTAATTAGATCCTTGTCCTTAATCACAACTTCTAACACAGATGCTTGCATTCGATCCTTTGAGAACGCAAAAACCTGATTCCATACTGGATTTTGTTGCTTCTCAAAGTGCTTTGTAATTCCTTTGTAGTTTCCAATTCTTACCTCAACAAATGGATCAAGACTCCCAGTAACATCCATGGCAGGAAGCTCACGAGCCTTAACAACCCTTACATAGAGAAAATACATGCGTTCTACTAGATCATAGGTGCTTGCAGTCTTGTCTCCGTGAATAACACGGCCACCAACAACTCTTCCGCCTCCAAGGTAAGGGCTTGTCTCTTTTAATGCAAAATCAACAGGCTGTGATGATGAAGCAGAGTGCATGCGAACGAGCCTTGCAGGCTGTGGTTGTTCAGATTTCATTTGATCAGCTTCATACTTGGGTACATAGTGGGAATCTGGTGCAGCAGAAGCATGATGCTGATGTTGTTGATCATGACCTGGATGAGGAAGATGATGAAAGGTGTGTCTAGTCTCAACCTTCTCCTTTCGAAAAGAGTTCATGATAGGATTTGAATCTCGTTGAGCCTGTTCATGATCCGAATTTGCGAGAGATTCAACAGCAGGGATTGGGGTGGAGGACCTAATTGATGGGTCATCAGTAATATAAACCTTTAAGCCAAGCTCTCCTCTTACACGAGAAAAGATGCCACGCTTTTCCAAAGGGTAATGCAAGACAACAGCATCAGAATAAGGAACAAATGAATTCCCTGTGAGGCTTATCTTCCCAAGGAAGGACCTGGAGTAGGTAGCTTTGACATTATTGTAGACATAGGCCTCAAGTGTAAGATAGTGGAGGTTGGAAGGATCCGATATGTTGAAGTAGAAGCTCTCATTCCAAACAGGGTTGAGATCCTTTTCTTTAAGAGTGCTACGGAACCTCTGACCGTCAAAGTAAAGCTCCACAAAGGCACTGGACGAACCTTGCCCATCTTTAGGCAAAAGGTTGTGAGCGCTAACTACGTCTACCCCGAGCTTAAGGTTGTTCATAGTAATTGCAGAAATGGAAAAGAACTACAGGTACCTGCAGAGAAGAGAATAATTAAAGTGAGATACTGATGTATATGTGTAATCGAACGCAGTGAAATGTAACAGCGAGATGAACAACTAAGCTGAAACTTGATAGAGTAACATATTGGCAAAAAATTTAAGCAAGAGCATACTGACTACTGAGATCACATTAGTCAAGCTGGACATGCACAGAATGCTTGTCAAAGAAAAGTAACCATCAGCTGAATATTTTTCACATCCACTGCATCTTGTAAAAAAGAAAGAAAAAAAACCATGGAACAGGATCCACAGAAAAAGCCATGGAACAGGGCTGTGAGCTATTAAGTTTCTGGAACTAAAATGCTCACCTTGTCCATGAGCAGAATCTATTGCAAAAAACATAACACCCTAATATACGGTCTAGAAGATCTTCTTTTAACTTCTTCTGCATATTTTACTGGACTAGTTTTTTTTAATTATTAGTGGAAAATTTAACTTATAAAAGATTCAAGCCAATCTCCAAATTCTTTATTGATAAAAACATCTGCTTGAAAAATACAAAAAGTGACAGTTAAAACTAAGCAAACCATTTGGGTTAGATTGGGAAAGCAAACAAGTCAGCAACGTTTTAGCATAAGCATGTGCAAGATTCAAGCCAATCTACAAATTAGATAAAGTTGAGCCCATATAAAAGCGAACACCCCATGAGATCCTTAAAGGCCGCTTAACACACATGAGCTTTTCACTGAATATTCACCATTTAAAAGTCACAAAAATACAAAAAGCCATAACTGGGATTTGGGTGCTGCAAGATCTGTTTGGTGTGCAAGAAAATGCAGTAATATATAACATTATAATATAAGTTGGAAAATAAAATACTTGCGAAAGTGAGGTGCATGGTTCAACTATTTTCCTTCCCTAGGGAATACCCAAAAAATTTTCTACACTAGATAAGAAAGAAAACAAAAAAGAAAAAGAAAAAAGAATAGCAGAAATTCATCACAAAGTTGTCCAAGTCTTCAGCTTCTCATCACAAAAACAAGACAGAAAACTGAAATGCAGGTCGAATCTATGACTTAATTTTTCATGCATACATACAACTTACAAGTAACAAAATTTTAGTCTGTGAAGTTCTCATGGGCAATTAGAGTTTATGAAACTTTGACAAACCAAATGAAAAATTCATAACAAAGAAAAAGAGGCAAGCAGAGAGCTGCAGAAGAGCAAAAGGCAAAATTTAACAAGGCTAGTAGCTTGCCAATCTAAAATGCTTACATCTAATTACCTCCTTTGAAGCTAAAAGCAGCAGCTTCAGATTTTGGCCATTTCCAAGCTGTGGTGGTAGAGGACTGACAGAACAAGGAAGAGGATGACAATGCAGCTAAAGAATTGGGTTGTTGAGTTTATGGTTTGAGAGACTTGAGACTTGGGGGGGGGGGGGGGGGGAGAGAGAGAGAGAGAGAGAGAGATAGAGAGTTAAAAGCAAAGTGGCATTGCTTAACAGTGTTTATGGTGGCGAGACAAGAAGCTATGGTTGCTCCTTGGCTTTCACTTTTTCAGTTTCTCTATCTTTTCTGAAATCTCACTTCTCCTTTGTCCTTATTATTATCACTCTCTCGGTTTGCTCAGTTTGGTTATCTCTTTTTTCTAAAGGGAATGCATAAGATGCGACCCATCTCATTTTCTTGACATGAGCACATTGGTGTTGGCTAGGAAACTGTTACTTTTCTCATTTGCATAATGCCAATTTATCTTACACTCAAGCAACTAACCAAGCAATTGCTTATCTCTACTAAATTGAAATTAAAACTCCTCCTTCCATTACTCTCAACATTTATTAACAAATTTTATTTACCACGTTGTTTCTCATTTTTCATATATTACCCTAAGCTTTGGAAAATACTCATATGTGAATGTTTATTTGTCGAATAATGTCATTAACTAATTCACTTGTTGTAACAAAATGAGTTAATTATAACACCACCCGACAGTGTGACGATTGCTTAGCTAAAGAGAAAATCACTACGAGCGTCAGTCCAGCAGCTAAGTTAGTAAAAGCTCTGACTTCCATGCATTGCATGTGCCCCCCTCTCTGCGTGGCGTGAAGACTGCGCATACCATTTAATATTCCACAACCACTACCTCACCACCACCACCATGCTCCATCATTTTAAATTACATTTAAATTTATTTCACACACTGCTGAGAAAATTAAATAAAATGAAAAAATTAAATTAAAATGAATTATCTCGATCTGTCTACGTGTCAACTGCCCATACTGTCAGTTCTACGCACATCGAGGACCAGCGTATGTGGGTCAACTTGGGCTTTTCTAATCCTGCCCACCACAAAAGAGGCCCGTCCTGCCATTTTATCCGGACTTAATCCGAAATACCCGAAACCCAAACTATAAATCGAAAAACCAGATGAGCTCTTTTTCTTTATGGATTAATTGTAGCAATGGTCATTGAACTATACTCATAGTTATATTTTGGTCATTCAACTCCAAAAATAGTTATAGAGGTCTCCCAATTATGTATGGTGTTGCATTACTAGTCCCTTTATTTAAGTTTGTCTTTTTTCAATTAAATTCATGGGGAAACTTGGAAATTCATTTAAAATATTTATAAAAGCGAAAGGGTTATTTGTAACAATGGTCCCTTAATTATACTCGGAGTTACATTTTAGTCACTCAACTCCAAACTTAGTTACAGAAGTCACTCAATTAGGTGTTGTGTTGCACTATTAGTCTTCACAATTACAAATACTTAACAGTAGGGACTAATGGTGCAACATAATGCCTAATTAAGTGATATCTGTAACTATTTTTGGAGTTGAGTGATCAAAATGTAACTCAGAGTACCATTGGGGGACATTACTATAAATAACCGTTTCTTTTTTGAACGAAGAACCAGATAAGCTCAGGCACAAAACGTCAGAAGCTACACGGTCACTGATACTGATCGCATCACCATATTTACCAGCAAGAGTGAAGAAGAGAAAGGAGAGAGATATAGAATTTCACCCAGAATCAGCACAGAAAGTACAGAATGAAGCTGAAGGTATACGTTGATCGATTGTCACAACCGTCACGTGCAATTTTAATCTTCCTCAAGTAATTTACCTTCTCTCTTCTTTGTCAAAATTCACTGTCTAATTGTTTGTTTGGTAATTATATTGATGAATTTGTCAGTTTTTTCTGTAATTGAAACTGGATTGTTGTAAAGTTGTGTCTTTTTCTCATCTAATTTGTTGAAATGTCTGTTTTTTTGTTTGTTTGTTTCTATAACAGGGCAAATGGAATAGAGTTCGAGGAGGTGAAAATAGACATAGCCAAACGTCAACACAAATCTCCTGAATTCAAAAGTATGCCTTTTTTATGTAGTTTCTTTTGAATTGGGTTTTATAATTGGTGGTTAGTTTTTCCAAAGTTCATTTACTAATAATAAATTGGTTAGAAAACATATTTGGGTAATTGGGTTATGTCATATGTTGGTGGATAGTTGCAAATTCTGAGATTCAATTGTGTGGAACTGAATTATTCATATTGGATGATGACCATGCAAGAGGGTATAAGGGATGGGAAGGCCACTTTGTAGTTTCCCATTGCCACTTTGATGAAAAAGGGAAAAACAAGTGAGTTGTAGGAAATACATGATTTGCTAATCAGCACAATTGAATCACTTCAGAAGAACCCTATAAAAAAAAATCACATAAGAAGAGTCGTTAATTAATCTGGTTTAATTAGTGAGTATAGAAACAATATGTTGTAAATTTTTTATGATGACTGGTGTCCTAGCATAGTGGTAAAGTAGGTCATCTACTCTACTGAAACTGAAGAAAAAGAAATAAAAAACCGAAAGGCATTTATGTTGGATGAGAGGGATGATATCTCCTCAATGACTGTTGGTTTTTTGTTTTTGGATATGACTTGTAGAAATAAACCCTATGGGACAAGTTCCTGCTATTTCTGATGGGAGATTTAAACTGTTTGAGAGGTAATTTAGTTATATTCGGTGTTTCGATACTCTAATAACTATCAGAAGTTTTTTCTATTTAATTAATTAAGTAATTAAGCAATTAATTAATTAATTTCTTTTGGCAGTCATGCAATTCTTACCTATCTTGCTTGTGCATTTCCTGGAGTAGCAGATTCTTGGTAAGTCCTGTTGCTTCTTTGCGCAGTTATTTCTTTTGACATAAAGGCTTAGGGATTGTATTGAATACCCAACTTGAACAAACAATGACATGGGTTTGGTTAGGTAGTTTGAACAAACAAGTTGGCCTCATGACTGAACATTCAGATTATCTCTGAATATCCAAAGAAAAGGAATTACAAATGAAAAAATTCAAATTTTTGGTTATTCTTTCTTCTATGTAGAACAGACTTGTAACTATTTCCACAAAACTTGGCAATTATGATTTCTTCAGTTACTTGATATGTTAGAAGAACAGATGAAGTTAATGGACTACATGAGAAGGAAAACAGCAACGTCATCAACCAAGACGTGTGTGTCCAAAACTTTGGAGGTCACGATAATAAGGACCTACGTACACATATTATATATTATTTTCCATGTAAATTTGGTTATCATGGTATCTGCTTTAATGCAGCTTCAATTTTAAATTGTTAATATTCTCAAATAGCTTCTCATTTTTTATCTTCAATTTTAAAACTAACCTTTTCTTTTCATGCTTTCAGGTATCCTTCTGATCTTTTCGCGAGAGCTAAAATCAACTCAGTATTGGATTGGCATCACTCTAACTTACGCCGTGGCTCAGGTCTCAATACTTGTCTCCCAAATGATGCTCCAAATGTTTTAGTCTTTGGTTGCATTTGGTCATGCTTTTCTTCTTCCTTGCATTGAGCTGGAATAAATCTTATTTATGATTTCATAACATACTTTCTAGACAAATTATACCTTGAAGAACCTTTGTACAATTAATTCAAAAGAAGTTTGTAGGAATGACTAGTAATAAATAAATGGCTAGATTCAGGCCCCAGAAGGGAAGAAATGGCTCAATTCTCTAGTCACTGTCAGTGGCAATCGGTTCTCATTTTTTAATGGATCTGCACAGTAAGTGGGAAAAATTAGTCTCGTAACATCTGCCTTTGGTTACTGGTTACTTGTGTAGCAGTAAGTACCTATACCTCATTAAGTTACCCAGATTAGTCTGTATTTTTCAATTTGCAGGTGCATATGCTTCTGCCAATTCAAATCTCATTAAACATAATTTGTAGTTATTAAATCCTTTTGTATTATATCACATGCATCCTTTCTGTTGCAGCCATAGATATAGGGTCACACTGCTTCATATTCCATTATTGCAATGGCTATTGAATTTTCATATGCATACATCTGTTTGCCGTAGTGAGCATTATACCTTTGACACAATATGATTTCTGGTTTTCTTTGTTGTGATGTCACTCTTATCGCAAGAGACACATTGGAACTGTAAACTACTTCATGTGTTTTTCTCTTCCCTTGTTTATTCTTTTTTGATGCTTCTGTTTCAGCGACATATGTTCTTCATACTGTACTAGCACCTGTGCTTGGACTTCCATCAAATCCACAAGCAGCTGCTGAAGCTGAGACACTTTTATCCTCCTCTTTGTCAACAATAGAGTCCATTTGGCTCAAGGGAAATGGAAAATTCTTGCTGGGTGGCTTCCGACCATCCATAGCAGATCTCAGCTTGGTTTGTGAAATCATGCAACTTGAGGTATAGAGATGTGTCATTCAATGTTTAATAATGTTACTTTTCTATGGGTTATCAGTTTCATTCAAAAAAATTGGAGGGGTGGGGGTCAGAGAGGACTTTCTTCAACTTGTCAAGTAAACAAAACTCTACTCATGGAATAAGTAAAAGATGACATGTTGAGATATGAAGCTCTATTTACGACAAAATAAAAAGAGATATGAAGCTCTATTCTTGGATAGACCAGCAGGTTAAGGTTTGGCAAATTGAGAACTTTTCCTCGATGTCTATTTTTCCTTTTTTTTTTTTTTTTTTTTTTTTTTTTTTTTTGGGGTTTTTTTTTTTTTTTTTTTTTTATGATGATGTTTATTTATGGTTTATTTGTGAGTAAAGAGGGGTCTCTCTGGTGGGTTAAGTATTTGTGGAGTGGTAATAGTGCGTCTTGATGTATTCTAAGTGTGCTAACTATACTGTTGTCTATTTCAGTTTTTATCTTGGTACTTGATGTTTTCTGACATCACAGGAAGAATGTGATTTAACTTAGCTAAACTTGTTATCTGAAATAAGATAATCAGTGCCATACCAACTTCATAAATTTCATGGGGAAACATTCAACTTTACAAGTTTGAAAAAACTCCACTCCATTTATTCATCTTGTGATTGTATGTTAGATCAGGCAGAAACTATATGTTTCCCCGGATGAATCCCTCTATAATTTTCTTCTGGAGTTTTACATTGCTTGTGGTATAAGATCTCTTGCTCCAGTCTTTTGTTGTAATAAAAGATTGTAAATTAGAAAATAAAAACCTTTATTTGTGGAAGACAACAAGTAATCTCATAATATATAACTTATTGTGTTTAGCTTTTGGAGGAGAAGGATCGCAGTCGTATACTTGATCCGCACAAGAAAGTTCTACAGTGGATTGAAAATACTAAAAATGCAACAAGACCTCACTTCTACGAAGTACATGATGTCCTCTTCAGAGCCAAAACAAGATTCCAGGAGCAGCGGTTGAAGAGGGCAAGCAACAAGACTGATTCCAGTGATAGGTCGACTTTGCCTTCAAAGATGTGATGTGAGAATCCATATATGTGATTTTAAAAAATGCTGTGAGAATAATAGACTTTTCATGTGGAACATTGAGCCTGGCTGCAACTGGAAATGTCAATTTATATTTGACATTTACAGTGTTTTACTTCACTATCTAGTTAATACATGGGACATGTTACTTTCTTATATTTCTACTCGAGCAGATGTTGAGCTGCGCCACTCTCTTCCTCTTCCCCTCTCTTGCTAGCAATTGATGTAGCAAAAGTAGCATCTTCCTCACTATAGGGTATGTTATTTATGAGTTGATGTTAATGCAGTAACAGTTCATCAAAGATTAAGGCCTGCATTCATGAATCTTTCTCTGCAAGCAAAATTTCATTCATCTTCAGATCAACATAATATACATGGGAAGTAAACAATCGTCACTCTATGTACACCTTTTCTTCATCAATCAACTAGCTTTTCCAACTTTCTAGACAAACCCAACTCCATGAATATGCACAACTGGTTTGAAACCACTATTATCATTCGATCCGTACTTCTTGTATCTCAAGGACATCCAACTTCTTGGGTCTCTTGTAGTTCTTCAACAACAGAGAGCAGCAAACAACACTAACAGAGGAGGCTGCCATTGCAGCTCCTGCAATCCATGGTGGTAATCTAAACCTGGTGGATGGAAACAGGGTGCCTGCTGCTATTGGGATTCCGAGCACATTGTAACCCAATGCCCATATGTAGTTCAACCGAATACGAGAAAAGGTTTTCCGGGAAAGGTCAATGGCTGTTATCACGTCTTCCAAGTTGCTCTTCATAAGCACAATGTCAGCTGCCTCAATAGCAATGTCTGTGCCAGCACCAATTGCCATTCCTACATCTGCTGCCACAAGTGCTGGTGAGTCGTTGATTCCATCTCCTACCATTGCCACAATGTAGCCTGAAGCCTTTGAATTAAAAAAGATGAAGCTTACTGTATTAGAATGACTAAGAAATTTTTTTTTCTCAAGAAAAGCAAGTTTTGAAAGTTCAGTTCAAACAATGATATAATTATAAGAGCTGCTGCATTTAGCTTTAAAACTAAATGCAGTAGTATAATCGAAGACTGAAAATACACGACATACCTGCAAATCCTTCACTTTCTGAGCCTTTTGTTCAGGTCTGGCTTCTGCAATCACAGTTTCAATTTCAGTTTCCTTGGCAATGGAATTCGCTGTACCCCAATTGTCACCTGTAACCATGATACTTCTAACTCCCATAGACTTAAGTATGGAAACCACTTCCCGAGCACCGGGTTTCAGTGGATCAGATATGGCTACAATTCCTGCCATTTCCCTGTCTATAGCTATAAGTATCCCAGTTTGAGCCAAAGCTTCAGCTTCTGCAAGTGTTTCTTCAGCCTCCACTGCTATGGAAATGTTAGAATCCAACATTAAGCTCTTGTTCCCTATGAGTATTTCCTTCTCCCGAACAACTGCCTTTACTCCTTGGCCAGTAATGGATGCAAAGTTTTGTGCTTCCGGCCAGGATGGATTCTCTTCACCTTCTCTGAATTTCTTGGCATACTCAACAATAGCTTTGGCTAGTGGGTGCTCACTGTTCACCTTGTATATGTACACACAATTAACTATGAATGAACATAAAATATTAAAGCAACTTTAAATAGCATAGGCTTTTCTTCTGTTCAGAACTTAGGTCTTCTTAAACATTAAAAAGTGATGGTGAAATGTCTACCTCAGTTGCAGCAACAAGTTCATAGAATTCATGAGGTGGCATATTGTTTAAGAGTTTTGTGTTAACAACCACTGGCTTCCCAACTGTGAGAGTCCCTGTCTTGTCAAAGACTATGCAGTTCACCTATAATATTCATATTACAGATCCATGAGATCCTAAAGCTAAGAGGCTAATGTGCAGTCTTGAAAGATAAATGAATTAGATTTATGACTTACTGGCTGCATTCTCTAATTTAATGACTAACTAATTAGAATTGAAAAAATATTTGCATTTTCTGCATAGTAGAAAAGTGCAAGATGAATATCCCTTGCCAACCTTATGCGCACTCTCTAATGCTTGCCCCCCTTTGATCAGTATACCTTGAGATGCACCAACACCGGTACCAACCATAACGGCAGTAGGAGTTGCTAGGCCTAAAGCACAAGGGCAAGCTATGACCATGACCGAGATCCCAAACTGAAGCGCAAGCTCAAAACTATCGATCGAAGATGGGATCCAAGAATGTGGGTAGCTATGGAACTTCCCTGCCAAAAACCAGGCAAGCCAAGTCGAGAATGAAAGTATGATAACCTGCAAAACTTAAGCCATTTGTTAACAAAGACATGCACAAATATAATACACATTAAAACACTTCTAAAAATTATTTGAGAAGTATGATATGACTGACATTCATGTCAAATTGGTTACCATTGGCACAAAGTATTTGGAAATGCGATCAGCAAACTTCTGCACAGGAGCTTTGGCCATTTGTGCAGACTCAACAAGTCGAACAATCTGCGAAAGAGCACTCTCTGATCCAACCCTTGTTGCCTTAACATGTAACACTCCATTCTCATTAACAGTGCCTCCAATGACTGCATCACCCTTCTTTTTTGCCACCGGTCGTGCTTCTCCTGTTATCATGCTTTCATTCACATGACTCTGCCCCCACATAACAGAGCCATCACAAGCAACTTTGGCACCAGGAATGATTTTAATCACATCGTTCTTTTGTATCAACCTACTATCAATTTCTTGTTCGTTTACCACATTTCCTTCCTCATCCAGAGTCAGCAATGTTGCTGTCTCGGGTGCCAAGTCCATAAGCTTGGCAATGGCCTCAGATGTCTTTCCTTTAGCCAAAACCTCTAGATACTTGCCTAGCAAGATAAATGTAATAAGCATTGAGCTAGTCTCAAAGAAATCTGTACCCTTGAAATCTTTAGAGTTTGCAGCTCTTAAAACTATGTACACTGAATAGAAGTAGGCTGCATTGGTTCCCAAGGCGATCAAAACATCCATATTAGCAGAAACCATGGCTCAACGCTTTGTAGGATCCAATGTAGAACCTCCTGCCTACGATGAACTGCACTGGAGTGGACAGCTCCCACCTTAGAATCTGACCAACATTCAACTTATTCACAATTTTAAGATCAAGCACCTTCTTAACTCCAGGGACATACATCAATACCATGGAGGTTAAAAACACAGGAATTGTAAAAAACAAGCTCCACAAAAAGAATTTATAATACTGCTTGATTTCTTCCTTTCTGTGAGTGTCTCTTCCTCCTTCAGGGTATATCATTGCTTTAAAATGTGCCGAGCCTGATGACTCGATGACTTCAATGAAAGTTCTTGGTCCTACAATATCTGCTTTATAAGAAATTGAAATTTTGTTGAGTTCAGGAAATGTCTCTAAGTTTTGAACTCCAGGAAGTGCTTCAAGGGATTTTGCTATTGTTCTAATGCTCTGCTCAGTCTTTATGCCATCAACTTTGAGCTCAATCTTGCTTATGTCTTCCCCTAGACTAATAAGTGTGGCTTCAAAACCGGTGTTTTCAACTGTTTCCAATAGCTGATTGTAGCTTACAATCTTTGGATCATAATGAACTTGTGCTTCTTCAGTTGCTAAGGCCACTTGAGCTCTTTGTACACCATGAATTGCTTGCAGGGCTGATTCAACAGTGGAGGAGCAAGAGGTGCAAGTCATTCCACTTATGCTTATTCTGCATACTTGTCTGGATTTGTCACTTGTCTCCTCTTTGATCAATTTGGCTTCAAATCCAACATCTTCAATAGTCTCACATATTTTCTCCTCCTATATGAATTGTAGTAATTGTTTTTATCATTATTATATGAATGTTGGTGAATGTGTGATCATCTGCACCAAATTTATTGAGTAGTAAACTGCAAGTTTTAAAGTCCTTATTGCAATTGAGAGAGAACCAAGAACCTAACAAAAAATAATATCTGTACCTACGTCTTACCTCTATCACATAATGTTGGTGTATGTGTAATCTCTCTCTCTCTCTCTCTCTAAAAATTTCTCAAATTTTATTCAATTTATTGTATGAAGTTCACTACCCCCAAAACAAAAAAAAAAAAAAAAAAAAAAAAAAAAAAACACCCCAGAGTTAGATTTTCGCCGGGCAAGATTTTTCTATGAGAAAGGTCATTTTTCTTGTAGTACATGTTGATATAATATGTAAAAAAGTAACATATTTGCTTAGTTGCTTACGAAGGGAAATGATCAAACCAAACCGGTCACTAGATAGATTTGTTTAATTCGGATATTCTATTAGTTTTAGGTTTAAACTAAACCTATTTGAATTATTACGTTACATTTCGAGCGTTAAAATGAAGGAAACCAGACCATGCATGCACACTCCTAATTTAAGGAAAATTACCTTATACAAACTAAAATGGGCTTAGGATGCCCTAATTCGAAGACTGATTATTATTAGTTGTACGTAACACATCAACATCAACTGTCTAGTTTGCTATACACATGGCATATTTTATAACCTCTAGATTATGCTTTAGAATACAATCGATAATCTAAACTATAATGGGAGGAGGTTTCTCACACATACACACTACCAAGGTAGTATGAGAGCTCGAACTTGGAGATCATTGGTCTGCAAGTCAAGGCATTTTTTGACTGGGCTAGACTTATATATTAACAAATAAACTTTGTTGATCATAATTAACTTATAGTAGATGATGTTCTAAAAAAATGCAAAACGTCAGATTAGATTTTAATGCTATATTATCAACAAATAAGACTTTTCTAAATAGAGTTCATGTCCAACAAAATTCTATAAAGGTAACAATAAAATAAGAAAAGCTATTGGTTAAAATTTTCAAATAATCCAAAATTGTCCTTTCTGAAGGAAAAAAAAATAAAAATGCAAAACACAACTATTTCAATTTAAAGGGACAAATACATTAACCAATAGTCTATAAATAATGATAAAATAAAAATAAAAAAGTACTATTGATCGAGAGGTTAGTCCTTCCTAATATATAAACCAGGT